AGGGTGTTCGAACTTTTTCACCAAAACTTTTCCCTTTAATCAATTATTCTTTGTACCAAAATACGATGAACGATAACCACCAATAAACAACGTAAATAACAATATGAGACACCAAAACTTTTAAAAATCACGAGGCTTATCTCCCGACCCAATGCAAAATCCACTATATCAAAAGATTCGTACAATAAAAGATAACCACAACCAAAAGGGCTATCAAACTCCACATTCAATTACAAGAGTCAAACCCTAATTACAAGAGATTTCTCAACTACTAACAACCTATTCCAATTATCAACCAATAAGATTAAAAAATCGAATCTAAACAAGTAAATAGTGAAAAATCAACAAATTGAATATATTCTCTCTTGCTAGTCGATTCTTTAGTGTGCGTGGATACTATCGTTCCTCTAAATCTCTACACCCAAATGACCCATCTCCCAACTATGAGGGGCTAAGGCAATAATTGACAAAAGTAGACTCTCAAATCTTTTGAGCTAACTTGAATTATTGGGCCTCCTACCCATAGAACTCAAATCCAACACTAATTATGTCATAATGTTCGGACAAAGAGACAAAAAAATAATACTCCCTCCGTCCCACATACTGTGTCTCCTACACTGTAAACACGGTATTTTAGAAATTGTGTAATTAGTAGATAATTAAGAATATAGTAGTGAAAATAATTATTCTATAATATAAATAATCATAAAGATAACTAATTAGTTTAATTAAAATTTAAAAAAAAATAAAATTAAAAATTTTAAAATGAGATTAAAGTGTATAATCATTTTCCAAAAAAGAAAAGTGACATGGTATATGGAACGAACAGAAACGGCAACATGAACATGATATGCGGGACGGAGAGAGTACTATTTTAATGTAAAAATGAAATAGATAAAAAATAAAATAAAGTAGATAAAGCGTAAAGTAAAATCATTATACTGTAAAAAAATTTATTAAAATATTATAATGAAGTAGTATGGTAAATAGAAAATCAGTGACAAATTCGTTATTATTTATTAAATAAAAAGTGATGAAATTGTGAGTCAATAAAATAATTTGTTATAAATAAATAATGCATAATTTAACAAACAACTTAAAAAAAAAAAAATAATAATAATATAATTATCCAAATAAAAAATGTATTATTTTTTAATCTAAGTATAAAAACTGTATTACCTAACCTTTTCTCCTATTATCAAATTAGTTTTCACTTTTTTTTCTATTATCAAATCAATTCAATTATAAAAAGGTAAAAGTTATAAAAGTTAAATAATACTCTCTCTCTCACGTTGAATGTCTCGGTGATGTGAGAATTTAGGATAAATATAATTAGTAGATAATTAAGAATATATTAATAAAAATAATTATCTTATAATATAAATAATTATAAATTAAGATTAAGATAACTAATTAGTTTAATTAAAATTAAAAGGAATTAAATTTAAAATTTTAAAATTAAATTAAAGTGTATTATCATATATATATATATAAAACAGCTCAAAACTGGACCCCACATTTTGTAAAATTCTCTAATCCTGCAATCTCAAAATTTTGAGAGTTTTTGGCTTTTTTTAATTTCTTTTTTTCTTTTACAGTTTTTTACACAGAAGTGGACATAAGAAGTCAGTGTGTTCTCCTTTTATTTCTTCAGACAAGTTTTACAACGTGTTTTTTTTTTTGTTTTTTCTTCAGGCAAGACAAGGGTGTTGTTCTGTGTTCTCCTTTTATTTCTTCAAGCAAGTTTTACAGGGTGTTTTTTTTTTCTTTTTTTTTTCTTCAGGTGTTCTCCTTTTATTTCTTCACGCAGAAATTCTTGAGGCAAGTTTTACGGGGTTTTACGCGTGTTCTCTTTTTATTTATTCAGACAAGTTTTACAAGGTGTTTTTTTTTTTTTCAAAGTTCTTATATTCATTTTTATTAATTATATTTTTCGAATTTTTGTATATATTTTTAGCCCTACTTTATTTTTAGAAAAGATTCTCACCAGAAAGAAGAAGATTATTCAGGCAAATGTTTTTTTCTAAAATTTAATTTATGGCAGAAGTCCGAAACTTTTATTTCTTTCTCAAGTTCTTATATCTTCTTGTTATTTCATTATATTCATTTATATTAATTATATTTTTTTTTTTGAATTTTTGTATAATTTTTTAGCCTATTTTTTTAATTGGGGAAGACAAAATTTTTCTACGGAAAAGATTGCCACCGGAGCAGTCCGTCTTCTTCAGTTAGCAGAAGTCCGTCTTCTTGAGTTAGCAGAAGTCCGTCTTCTTGAAGTAAGTTTTTAAAGTAAATTTTTTAATGAATTTGAGTTTTTGAATAAATTTTCATTGATAAATTATCCATGAATAATTTAAGTTTTTCAATAAATTTTCATTGATGAATTATCCAAATTTTTTGTAATTTAAGTTTTTCAATAAATTTAGACTTATCTTCATATTCAATCAAAAATAATTTGTAGTCAGTGGAGTAAGTTATTGAATAAATTTAAATTTTTCAATAAATTTTATACGGTGTTTTTTTTTTAAATTTAATTTTTACTTCTTTTTCGAATTCTTATATTTTTCTATTATTTGATTCATATTTATTTTATTAATTATATTTTTTTGAATTATTGTATAATTTTTTAGCACTATTTTTTTCTTTCATGGTAGAAGACAAAATTTTTCTACCTGAAAAACTTCTCACTGCTCTCCGTCTGTTTGAAGTAAGTTTTTGAATAAATTTGAGTTTTTGAATAAATTTTTTTTTTTAATTTAATTTTTACTTCTTTGATAAGTTCTTATATTTTACTGTTATTTCATTATATTCATTTATATTAATTATATTTTTTTTGAATTTTTATATAATTTTTTTGCCCTATTTTTTTAATGGTAGAAGACAAAAAAATTTTATGAAGCAGGAGCATAAGTCCGTTTTCTCGAACTAAGTTTTAAAGTAAATTTTTGAATAAATTTGAGTTTTTGAATAAATTTTCATTGATGAATTATCCAATAAATTTTTGAATAATTTAAGTTTTTCAATAAATTTTCATTGATGAATTATCCACATTTTTGTATAATTTAAGTTTTTTAACAAATTTAGACTTATCTTCATATTCAATTAAAAATAATTTGTAGTCTGTTTTTTTTAAGTAAGTTTTTGAATAAATTTAAATTTTTCAACAGTAACAGTGTTGGTTTTTTTTTTAATTTAATTTTTACTTCTTTCTCAAATTCTTATATTTTCCTATTATTTGATTCATATTTATTTTTATTAATTATATTTTTTTGAATTATTATATAATTTTTTAGCCCTATTTTTTTTGATGATAGAAGACAAAATTTTTCTACCAGAAAAACTTGCCACTGTGTGTTCTTTTTTTTAAAAAAAAATTAATTTTTATTTTTTTCTCAAGTTTTTATATTTTCCTGTTATTTGATTAGACAATTTTGCTACGGGAAAAGCTTGTCAATCTTTTTGAAGTAAGTTTTGAATAAATTTAAGTTTTTCAAAGGGTTTTGTTCTTTTTTTTAATTATTATTTAATTTTTACTTCTTTCTTAAGTCTTATATTTTCCTATTATTTGATTCATATTTATTTTTATTAATTATATTTTTTTGAATTTTTGTATAATTTTTTAACCATGTTTTTTATACGATAGAAGACAAATTTTTTATTAATTATATATATATTTTTTAATTTTTGTATAAAGTTATATTCTAAATTGTTTGTTGGATGATTCGCTCGCTTTTATTTCTTAATTTTGTTCAGGTTTGTTAATTTATTTTCATTGCCTAATGTTTTCTTTTCATTAGGTTATTTTTTGGACGTTGAAATTGAAAATGTGAATTTATTTATGATTATTCTTTTTTATTTTGTATTTAATTATGATTATTCTTTTTCATTTTGTATTTACGGGGGATTGATTTTATTCTTTAAGTTGTAAAAAGCAGAAATTGTTATATTTATATGAATAATAATTTTATTTTCATAATCGATCAAGTTCTAAACACGTCTAAATATATGTATAACTTTTATATATATTTTAATTGATTTTGTTCATAATAAATTAAAATATTATTTTAACATTAAATTATTTTAGTTATATTGCATATTTTATTCCAAGTATATAATGTAAATCTTTGTGTTCGAACAGTCGTGGCTGGGTGTCTGCAGAGGTGGACTGATGCCGACTCTATTTGGTGTGTGTGTTTGGCCGAGAATTAGTGGATGATGGTAGATGATAATAATGTTTTTAGTTCGAACTTGCAGAAGATGTGTTAAAATTGTTGTTGGATATAGTGAAGATTTTGTTTGGTTTTCCTTTATTTTTTAAACAATAGAATTAGAAATTTATTTAGTAGAATATTGTTGGATTATATATTTTTATTTCTTAATTTATTATATGATATTTAGTAGAAAGATGGCGGTTGTGTAAATTTTGGATATATTGATGAATAATTTTTATTTGTAGTTCCGATTATAAAGAAGATATAAAAAAAACTTATGTTAAATTTTTAAAATGTAATTTATTTTGCATTCAAAAATATTTTTAAATAATACTATTATATTATAATCTTATATTTCAATTAAGAAATAAAAGTAAAATGCTAAAAAGTTAAATATTTACTTTATAATTGGATGGAGATAGTATAATTTATTGATATTATTTTATTTTTTATATTGATTACAAATATATATAATATATAAAGAAATTACTATTAAAAAGAATATAATTATAATTTTTTTCGTTAGATTTCACGGGTATCCAGCTAGTTATTTTAGAAAAATGATATAAAATGTGGGACGGACAGAAATGACAATGTGAACATAATAGGTGGGAAAGAGTGAGTAATAAAGTGTTTTCTGTCTTTAATAAATTATTCATTTCAAATGAATAGATAAAGTATTTTCTTTCTTTAATACAAAATCGAAATAAATTTGTTACTAGTAAAAAAAAACAAAAAAACAAATTTAATAAAAATAAAATAAAAAAATACACTGTAGGTATTGTTTCCAGCCAAGTCTTCTGTCAGTAATTCGTTTGTCTGTCTGCATCGCAGATCTGTGTGGAAATGGTAAGTTCACTCACCTCCTCTTCACCTCTAACTTTTTGCCGTTTCTGCGGTTTAAACTCGCTCAATAATCGCCCGAATCACGCCGATTCATACATAAACTAGCTATCGTGTAGATTGTCCTGTTGATGTCGTGTTTTTTGTTCAGGTTTTTGGTTCGCCGGTGGCAGACGCAGAACTGTGATTGTCGAGTCGGCGAACTGTACTGCTTTTCACATTAAGCGGTTAAAGGAGTGATTCACGACTAGGGATACCTCCATAGTCCATTCCATTCGAGAGGTATCTGCTAATTCCTGCGAAATCTTCCTCGTCGATTAGGTTATTGCAAATTCAATCCCGCTGTTCTTCCCGTACAGATTCTGGTAACCATGGATGGTATGGTGTTTTCCTTTTTCCTAAATTCAAGGTTTCCAAATTGTAGAGCTTTGCACTTTATCTTCCTTCAATGTACAAATCTGTGTTCGTATATGAATTGCAAGAAAAAAATTCATTGTTTTTGTTTTATCAGTTTTTGATTTGTGAACGCCACTGCCTTCTCAATCAAGACAAGAAATCCAGTATATCTTCAAAGAATTATTATCGCTATATTCTTTTAGTTTATCTTTCTGTGTTCTTCAAATGTTCTGAATAAATTCTTTACTTGAATGAATGTTTTGTTATTTTCAATGAGCAATTCGATACAATAATTGAATGTGCATATCAATGTTTTGCATTTGGTTTTCTGTTTTAGCTGATGTATCGAATTCGTACAGAAATTATGAAGGGAGACAAGCTTGTATTAAGGGGGATGATGTTTCATGGGTACCATGGGGTGAAGCCAGAAGAAAGAAAATTGGGCCAGAAATTCTTGGTGGATGTGGATGCCTGGATGGATCTTCAAGCCGCTGGGAATTCTGATAACCTCTCAGATACTGTCAGCTATACCGACATTTACCGGTGAGTGGAAAGCTTGTTTTCTGCATAAATTATCCGCCATTGATAGACAATCCAGTTGCTTTATGAGATTAGTTGGTAACCAGATCCATCCTCGTGCTTTTGTTGAAATTTAAACTAATGTTGTTGAGTATTTGATGTTAATGCCACTTTGCAACTCATTCACAATCTTTGCTTTCTATCACTTCTATGATTTGTGTTCATTTCAATTCACAAGATTCAAAATTTTTGATACAAATCTGGTCTTGAATGCGTGTTCTTGAGGCTGCTTTCGACGGACAATGATATGAATACAACAACTAGGCTTCTCTTTTTAAGATCTAATATGTGTTTTAGAGTTTCAATCATTTGAACACTACTATTATGAGATAGTAAATCATATTTAATCGAAGCTCCCTCACCCTGTTTTGAACCAATCTTTTCCATATCTATGGGATTCCTTCAATGGGTTTTTTCCAAATTTATCCAAGTAAACCAGCATGCGCTTAGTTAATTGAAATAATGTGAATGACAGTTAATACTTTAAATGTTAATTTACATTTTATAGGCTGTTTAACTATATTTGAATAATATTCATTCGTGTTAACTATCTTTTTTCTCGGAAAATTCAGCGTGGTTAAGGCAGTCATGGAAGGATCTCCCCACAACCTTCTGGAATCTGTAGCTCAACTGATTGCGACTACGGCATTGAGCAAGTTTCCCCAGGTTTCAGCTGTCCGGGTACAGGTAGGAAAGCCACACGTGGCTGTGGTTGGTCCTGTCGACTACTTGGGCGTCGAAATTATTAGACATCGTACCACTGGTGAGCAAACTTAAGGTAACTCTCTTCAACCTTAATTCTCGAACTTTCCTGTTGAACCTTCTTTGCTCGTTTGTTGCACATTCTGTTTATAATCGTCGCTACTCTGTCAAGTTTTCCCTGATAATTATGTTGAAAAGTAGAAGAATTTTCTCCTCTGTTGCTTGGCAACTCGGAAATGGCGTCGAAAGGGTTCCGATGCCGGGCTATTGTTGACATAGGGATAGACATAACTTAAGTCATGCTTGATGAAGGTAGAAAATAGAACAAAAGCTTGGGTGTGTTTGGATGTCCCAACCCCCTTTTTCTTTCTTCCTCTTCAAAAATATCAAAATACTACATCGGTCTGATTCCAAGGCTGTTTTTGCGTATTGATCTTTGAATATTAATTACTGTAACAAAACTTAGTGAAAAAAATTGAAAAAATACTTTTATCAATATCTTATAATAGTAATCGAATGATATTTGTGCAAAAAATTATACATGATAATGATATTTTTAATATGAAGTACAACGAAGCAAAAACTAAATATGATTTTAGAGGTGGACGGAGGGAGTATATTTTATATTAAGATTAAAAATATATATATATTCAAAATATCAAAATATTTATATATATATTACTCCTTTCGTCCTATCAGGTCATTCTCCATTTATGTTCTAAATTTGGAGCAGTATAGTTCTGTTTTCTTTAATATTTGTATTATATAACCATCATAGTTTTTTATAAATATATGTACAATTTTTTTTTTCTTAGAAATTATTATGTAAAATTATCTCATTTAAAAATAAAATTAGAGAGAAAAAAAAAACATATTAAATATTTATTTCAATCAAATGTGGAGTTAAAAATGGATCTTGTTGGAGAAATTCAGTGCAAAAAGTGTAATTCCATCCGCTATCAAAATATATACAAATTATTTTGAATGAGCACTATTTTTTATTAAAAATTACGCTCTTTTGATCATATACAAATTTTTAAAAAAAAAGGATAAAAAAAAAAATTCTCTTTATATTAAAAAATAAAAAGAATAAAATAAATATATTTTTGAATGACAATAAAAAAAAAATTAAAATATATATAAATTTAAATGACGAAAAAAAAGTAAATTTTACAAGAAATTACACCTAGAAGAAACATATATATAAATAAGATGAATTAATAATAAAAAAAATATATAACTTATCAGAAAGCACAGTCCAGCGACAATATTATACTCCCTCTGTCCTATTTGATATTTACACGGTATTTTTAGGTAATTAGGATTTTTGTTATAAAATGACAAATTTGTCCTTAATTTTGTGTATATAAAATGAAAGAATAAATAAAATAAGAATAAAAGAGTAAATTTTATGTATAAAAATATAAAAAGAATAATAATCGATTATATATTTCAAATAGAAAAATAAAACGTTGGTCCGCGGAGAGAATAGTAATTTTACAATTTTTATTCAAAAATTCTCCACCCCAACTAACTTCAGGCTTTAATTATATTATAAAAAATCAGACTCAATAAGGCAACTGCCGGCTGCAGGCCGACGTTAAACTTTATAAGAAAATATTTTTATTTAACTAATTAAAGATAGATAAATAAATTTGAATTATAAAATTCCGAGAGAGTTATTGGTTCACCACTTCCTCCCAAATATTCATTAGTAAATATTTGCAAGTGAGAGAATAATTGGAAAAAATAGTATAAGAAGATATAGAAAAAATAAAATAAAATCAATTTACTCGAATTAGCTAATTTATTTAGAAAAATTATATTTATATGATATTTTATTAAAAAAAAATAGTGAATTTTATTAAGAACCGTAGAGTTTAAACAATACTCCCTCCCTTCATGATAAATTGTCCATGTTACCGTAGATACGAAAATATATGTAAAGTATAATTATTAATTAATTAAGAAGTGTGCTGGTAAAAGTAATTATGATCATAATAAAAAAATTATAAATTAAAATTAAAATAACTAAATAATATAGTTAAGATTAAAAAATTATAAATTATGAAATTTAAAATATGATTAAAATATATAATTATATTTTTTTTAAAAAAATTATGTGAAACCGACGAAAATGAAAAATATGAACAATTTATATGGGACGGATAGAGAGAGAGAGAGAGAGAGAGAGAGAGAGTATTAATTTATGTCTGAAAACACAAATCAAACTTTCTAAAATTGCTATTAATACAAATTCAATCTTTTTTTTTTTTTTATTTCTTGTTTGAGAGTATTTTTATTTTAATATTGTTTGTTAAAAAAATAATCATTAAATCTACTTATATTTATAAATGTTAGATAATATATATAAATATATTAAATTGCAGCATCGTCAACAACAATAATAATGCAAAATGAAAAAATGTAAATTTGCTGGATTTATCGCATAAAATAATTAATTATAATAATTTGCAAAATAATTAATAAACGCGTTTTGGGTTTAGGAAACATTCCAACTGAAAAACCCGCCATTTCGACGCCTCCCAAATCCTCGTTTCTTCCCAGAATGTTAGAAATCTCCCAAACCCTAATCATGGCGGATTTCAATTCTCCATTTCCGAAGCTCACAGATTAATCATTTCGATTTAATTTTTCAGCTTCAAATCTACAGTTCATCCAATCTATTTCCGTCTGGGCAAAAATTTCTTATTCTTACAGTAAGTTTCCCCAATCTTACACCCAATCGATCTGTCCGAAATCTGAATTTCTACAGAATGGGAAACAATTGTATTACAAGCAGAATAACTAAGGACGGTTTCTTCAGCACAATTTCTCAATCTCTCGGCTGGTCGTCGAAGCCTCCAGATACGATTTCTTACAACAATCGCGAATCGGAAAGCGTCGATTCTAAATCTGTGGAGATTCAGCCGCCGGAAACGATGAAGATCGACGATCGAGCGTCTGTGATTCCTGAAACTGTTAAGGATGTAAGAAATTCCTCAGAAACTCCTAATCCATTACAATTAGAATTCGATGAACAGAGGAAATCCATTAATGTAAAGAGAACTATGAGTTTAGGTCTTAGGATTGATTCTGTGCTTAGAACAAAACAGGGGAGATTAAACGATTGTTTCGAATTGGGTCGAAAACTCGGGACCGGACAGTTCGGGACAACGTTTGTTTGCGTCGAAAGGACAACCGGCCGGCGGTTTGCGTGCAAGTCGATTGCGAAGAGGAAGTTGTCGACAGCCGAGGACATCGAGGATGTAAGAAGGGAGGTTGAGATAATGCACCATTTATCGGGTTGTCCGAATGTCGTCGCGATCCGCGGCGCGTACGAGGATGCCGTCGCCGTCCATGTTGTAATGGAGCTTTGCGGCGGCGGGGAGCTTTTCGATCGAATTGTGAAACGGGGGCATTACTCGGAGAAAAAAGCGGCGGAGCTTGCGAGGACGATCGTTGGCGTCGTCGAGACTTGCCATTCGTTGGGAGTTATGCACCGGGACCTCAAGCCGGAGAATTTCTTGTTTGTCGGCGACGAGGAGGATTCTTCGATTAAGGCCATCGATTTTGGATTGTCCGTGTTTTTTAAGCCCGGTGAGTTTGCGCGTAATCGAGCGCAATAGAAATGTTTTCTTTACATTGACAATGATGATCGATTTCGTGTAGGTCAAATGTTCGAGGATGTCGTCGGGAGCCCGTATTACGTTGCTCCAGAGGTTCTCCGTAAGCGGTATGGGCCTGAGGCCGACGTTTGGAGCGCCGGCGTTATCGTGTACATTCTCTTATCAGGGGTGCCCCCGTTTTGGGGCGGTAAGATATATCGATCTTTTTTTCTTTTGTTTTAAGAGAAAAGTCTAGGGTGTGTTTGTTTGTGGGTTTTACTTTTTGAATTTGGATTTTTAAATAGTAAAAAGTTGAATTTAATAGTTGTTTGATGTGATATAAATAGAAATTGACGTGATATTTTGAATGTAAAATAAATTTATAATATAATATAAAAAAAAATAATAATTGTTTGATTTTTAGATGGAAAAAAGAATCTTAATAGTAAAAACATATGGTACACAAAAGAACACCACCTAAAGGATCGTTAGGCCACACTTTCACGGTTCATATTAGTACTGGAAATCAAAATCAAACGAACTTTTTTTTATGATTCTTGTTCGATTGGTATGTCTTTTCACTCGGATTTCGATTTGGTGTAGAGAGCGAGCAAGAAATATTCGAAGAAATACTTCACGGCGACGTTGATTTCGACTCGGATCCTTGGCCCGAAATATCGGAAAGCGCCAAGGATTTAGTGAAGAGGATGCTCGTCCGTGATCCGAAGAAGCGATTGACGGCGCATCAAGTTCTTCGTGAGTTATTACATTGTGATCACGTTGCGTACACATTTTTTCGATGAAATTTTTAACGATGTAATGTTTCTCGTAGGCCATCCGTGGGTTTGTATCGACGGAGTCGCTCCCGATAAGCCTCTTGATTCTGCGGTTTTGAGTCGACTAATGCAATTCTCTGCCATGGACAAGCTCAAGAAAATTGCCCTTCGGGTATACAAACGATATATGCAAATACAACACATGATAATAGTTCACACAATACATATTATAATCGACTTCAACATATAAGCTATATTAACATAGCACATATATATATAAAATAAAACATACAACACATGCTAACAATCTATACAATATGTACGGTTAAATTATACTCCCTTCATCTCTTATCTATGTATAAATTTGTTTTTTACACAGAGTTTTAGAAATATTAGTATTATATTGAAGTTTGGTATGAATAACGTATAAATGACTCAAATAACCTCATTAGAATTGTGTGATATAAAGATAATAATATTTATTTAATATATTGTAAGTTGTAAGGGTATTTTTAATGTAAGTAGAAAGTACAATTACTAAAAAAAAATGAATACTATGTTATGAGACAGATCAAAATAATAAAAAAAATGAATAGATTGTTAAGGGACGAATGGAGTGTTTGATGTGCTGGTGCTGATTAATCCTATTCAGTAGGTTTATTTGTCCCTATCTATATATGTGATGTCGACAACCTTAAACGTCGGAACGACTCGCTCGTAGGTCATCGCCGAGAGCTTGTCCGAAGAAGAGATCGCGGGGCTCAAAGAAATGTTCAAAGCGATCGACACCGATAGCAGCGGTCACATTACGTTCGAAGAGCTAAAGATTGGCTTAAGACGATTCGGGGCCAACCTTAACGAATCCGAGATACTCGACTTGATGAGGGCTGTAAGTCTTTCTTCCTCGATCCTTCTTACATCCTTAAAAACACGAAACATTCCATCGCCTAAACGTTCCGGCGACCAGGCTGACGTGGACAACAGCGGCACGATCGACTACGGCGAGTTCATCGCGGCGACATTGCACTTGAACAAAATCGAGAAGGAAGACCATCTTTTCCGAGCCTTTTCGTATTTCGACAAAGACGGGAGCGGTTACATCACCCGGGACGAGCTCCAAGCGGCGTGCGTGGAGTTTGGGATCGAGGACGTCGAAGAAATGATCCAGGAAGCTGATCAGAACAATGTAAGAGTTTTTTTTTTTTTTTTTTTTTTTCCAACTCGTAAGAACATCGTAACTTAAGACATCTCTAACGGCGAATGTTGTCGATTGTCGCAGGACGGACAGATTGACTACAATGAATTTGCGACGTTGATGCTTAAAGGGAACGGCGATTGCGCAAAGACGGCGCCGGCGCCGGCGCCGGCGAGGAGGTTTCCGGGCAAGGTCGACGGTGGATTGAGGGGAGCAACGAAGGTTTTTTGAAGTATGATATTTGTGGTAAATTCTTTTGATTATTTGGGATCACTTAAAAGGCATGCAAGATTTCAATTATTATTCTTAAAAAATTATTAGTCATATTTATTTTTTTATTTTAACTATTATGTAAAATTAATTTTAATTTTTAAGTATCGAAATAAAAATTAATAAACTTTAGCTATTGATTTTATTCATTAATTTTTCTAGTACTGGTCTGAATTAATGTTCTATTTTTTTTGGTGTTTTGATTGTTACTGTCATTCTTACTATCATCTTTTTTTTTTTTAAATGAAAATGTGTCATTTATTTTAGGTGAAATTGTCTAAAATCAATATGTCCTTTGAAAATTCCCTATAATTTTGCTTTTGAATTTAAAAAATGTGTGACACTCTTATATATTTTTCAGAGTGTTACATCAAACCCCCGTGAATTTCTGTTCAGGAATAAGATGGTTGTTTGTTTTTTTTACACGAAATTTTTTTAATATTAGTATTATATTATATGTAGTATAAATCAATAGAAAAAACTAAAATATCATTAGTATTATATAATATAAATATAAAATTATTTTTATAATATATTCTAAGTTGTAATACATCTATAATAATAGGTGAGTAATACAATTACCAAATAAAAAAATAACAATCTTATTTTGAAATTGATAAAAATAGAACATGACAATTTTTTTTTTATAAAACTGATGGAGTATTATTTTATTTTACAAAATATAGTATAAAAATATTATTTAATCCAAAACACAAATAATTTACTAATTTATTTTAATGTTAGTTGTTTTGAGCAAGAAATATAAATGGTGGGAATGAAAACTCAACTCATATCCAATTTCTTGGCTGTTAATCTTGTAATTAAATGATTATATATGTATATATATGTTAAGTATGGATAATTATATATATTTTTATGTTAAGTATGGATAATGTATAGATAATATAAAAATTAATATTTTATATTGAATTATTAATTTTTTGTAAGTTAATAAAGTACTTATATACTATTATATTAATGTGTGTATATATTGTATTTTTATAATTTTAATAGAGAATCGTATTATCTCAAAATACAACATGAATAATTTATTTGATATATATTTTTATAAATTTTCACTATATGTTTTTTATAATTTATTTTAATATTTTTAGAATATTAAAGTCAAAATACAAATCCCACAAATAAATGCTTTAAATTTGTTAGATTTTTGCTATTGATTATTCAAAATTATAAAATAATTCTGAAAAATTATGAGTTGCATTTGATTATAAGTTTTTTTTTAGGTTTTATACTATTCCCCAAAAAACAAGAAGTTCTAAAAAATATAAAATCAAAAATTTATTTTTTATACTATCCCCAAAAAACAAGAAGTTCTAAAAAATATAAAATCAAAAATTTATTTTTTATATTATATTATATTATATTATAATTTAATTTATATTCAAAATATTATATCGAACTATTATTTCAATTCAATTTTTTTACAATTTAAATTCAAAATCCAAAACCAAACGCATTCAAGATATCAATTTGTATAAAGTATTTTTCATCATTTTAAAAATATCTTATTAAAAAAAAATACCCTTTTCCATAAAATCTTATCTTGTTTCTCATTTGTACTATGTATAAATATAATATTAATATTAAAATAATTAAATACAAATAGTAAATAATTGTATTAATATGAGACTGAAAGAATATATTTTTATTAAAAATTTTAGTAAATAATATTTTTATGAAAAACCATATAGTAAAAATTCCATCAAATTTAATTTACATATATATATATATTAAACTACATCAATTTATTTTCAAAGATCGGATGCAATTAAAAAAACGGATTCCCAAATTACTAAAAAAAAATAGTTAAGGGACATATAAAATTTATTTCGAGTTTCAATTTATGCTATATATATATATATTTAATTTGTGGAGTATAGAGAGTCAATAGGTGGTCCAAATATAGTGCAATATTAAGGGTGTGTTTGTGCAGGGGTTTGGATTTTGAGTTGAGATTTGAATAGTAAAATTTTTGAATTTGAATAGTCGTATGATGTGATATAAATAGGTGTTGATGTGATATTTTTAATGTAAAATTGATTTTTAGTATAATATAAAAAATGAAAAATAAGTGTTTGATTTGATATTTTTGGAGGAAAAAAAAATGGGGTAAAATAGTAGATATAAAATCCAATAATAATAATAATAATAATAATACATTAAAGATTTCCAAATATAATGGGTGTGTTTGTTTGAAGGATTTTGGAGGATTTCCACTATTTATCCAATTTTTTTCCCCCAAAAACATCAAATCAAACACCTATTTTTCATTTTTTATATTATACTAAAAATCAATTTTACATTCAAAACATCACATCAAACCCTATTTATATCACATCATACAACTATTCAAATTCAAAATTTTTACTATTCAAATCCCAATCCAAAATCCAAACCCCCAAACAATAATGCTCGGTTTATACATACAATTTTAAATTCTTTAATATTATTTATTTTTAAAATATTATATTATATTAATATTTATTTATTTATTATTTTTTTTTAAAAAAATAATTCTTTCTAATCGGATCCTAAGCATCATTGGACCCTTTTGGTTCACAATCAAGAATGAATTTATACACACAATGGAGGATTTAGATGATAAGATTGGACCCATTTACATTCATTATTGTAAGAATAATATAATAATTCCCTTTTTCTTTTTGTCACTATTCTATTCGTACATATTTAATTCTGAAATGAAATAAAATGCCCAAAAATTCTTTTTATTTATTTATTTATTATTATTTTTTAAGACATGAAAATGTTATTACTGTGCCTAGGATTCTTCTGTGCATCAGCTGGGTTTGTAATAAACACAGCATTCCATGTGCCTATTTTCTCTGCTTAATATTGGACGGTTCAGATTGCATCAGATCAACGGTGAGGATTGAGGATTGAATTTTGCCAGCCTTGAATACAACGGATCACCCACAAAATCCTTCCCACCCCCAATTATGTTGATCTGATCATCTGGGTCATTGTCCAACGTGGATTAAATGGAATGGACGGCTGAGATTTGTTCTCCCTCGTGGCATATCAGCCGTTGGATCGCATCCGCCAGCCGACAGCTCAACATCAACGGTTGGTGATCGACAGGACTCAATCACGTTGCTTCTTGCTTTGCCACGTCACACCGCTCATTCATTGCGCCGTTATTTGACGCTTCTGCCCCTTATTTAATCTGGTGTTGAGAGACCGAGAAATGCATTTCGTGCAGGGGTACTTCTGTCATTTAATGTTTCGTGTAGAGGATCAAATTTGTCGAGCTACGCTCACGCTTGTCGCGCTTTCACTCTCTCTCTGTATAGAAAAAAATTTGCAGTCGTTTGCTTGGCTCTTGGAGATAATTTGTTTGCTGTTTTTGCTGAGCTCGGGAATCGATTCGAAGAGGTAATGTTCCTGTTTTGGATGGTGTTCCTGCATTCATTCGTGGTTGTGCTTTAACGGATTAATGGTCTGTTTTTTTGGTTATGTTTTTTTGGTTGTTGTGTCGATCGTGATGATGCTGTTGTGTTGTGTTTTCGGAGTATCTGTTTGTTTCTTCTGATTTTTGTGCGATTTGTTTGCTTATTTTTCGTGTTTGGAAGTTGTGCATTTTGTTGATTGGTCTCTTCGTCTTGCTCGATTGATTTCTAAGAAAGTGTGGTGCTGGAACTGTGGTAACTGCAGAGAGTGTTGAAAATTTTGAAATTCGTCTGTGTTGAGAATTGGAGTTAGAATTTTGTTGTTATGTATGTTGGAGCTTAAGATCTGTAGTTTCAGTGACGAATGGTGCGATTTGTTTTTGCTTACTGTAAATTTTGGATAACGTTATTTGCTTAGGGGGTGATTATTTCTCAAATCTCAACAATGGAGTCTGAAAATGGAGTTGATGAAAAAATTGGTGATTTTGAGAGATCACCAAACGAGGAGGAAGGGTCAACTCTGGAAGTGAACAAGGAAAATATCAGTAATACTCACGAGCCATTTTCTGGTGGAGATGAAATGTGTAGTAAAGATGAGGTAACAGACAAAGAGGGCCCTAACTCGTCTGCATCTGAATCGATCATGTCGACGTCTGTGTCGGAGAGTAAAACATCACATCCTGGCAAAGATGCCAACAACAATGTCTCAAAGAACACCAAATTGGCCAAGAGCAGCTCCAATTCAAAAGCATCAGCTGTGTTCGGACGGAGCACGAAGTCGAGCTTGTCGCAGAGCCTTTCCTTCCCATCAAAAGGTCGCCATTCAGATGTCATGAGAAGAAGCATTGAGGTGTATCCAAATAATTCGAAAATCAGGCCATCTCAGAAGAATAATTCTTCGAAAGCTGAGTTGCAGGCATCGAATGGGAGTGTCAGTTCTCAGAGAAACCATGGCAGGGGGCCGTCTATCAGTCCTAAAGGTGTGAAGGTTTCGGAAAAGGCAGCCAATCGGCGCACGAGTTTAACATCTTCACCAAATGCACATCAATCTATGGTGAATCTTTGTCTACATTGCATTTGTTCTTCGAAATCAATTCCTGCCCTTATAAGCTCTCTTGGTGTTTCAATAGCAGCCAGATAAAGGTGTAGCTGCTAATGGAACTGAGACCAACACTGCTGCTTCTGATGTGTGAGTAGCATTCAAAACTGTCCGTTTTGTCGTTCTTATGAACTGATGTTTTCGTGATTTCATTCAATAGTATTATATCTATAATCTCCCGGTTAAAGCGATTGCTGCTACTTAGTTGTAAAAATAGGATGGTCGATAAAGATCCTGAATCTGGAAAGACAGCATCCCCTGTGAAGGAAGAGGATGTTCGTTCCACTACATCATCGTACGTGCTGTCTAGACTCGGTTTTAACAATTTCTAGAGTCATATTTGGTGATTTTGTGTTTTTTTGAACAGAAATCTAACTCCTCGAACGCAGCAGAGGATTCATGTTTCGGCATTCTCCTTCAGGTTGGATGAACGTGCTGAGAAGCGAAGAGAGGTAGACTTGTGATCGTTTTTATTTTCGTTATTACACAAATGATGAATCAATGCACATTATTATCATCAGTTCTTTTCGAAGAGAGAAGAGATAGTACAAGCCAAGGAAGCAGAAAAAAATGATCTTCAAGTGAAATCAAAGGTGAAAAACGATCTTCATAATCCATTCTCCCAAGAAATCAATATTCGAATCGACTTCTAGTTTTCACTTCTTGATCTTTACTACATTGATCGATTAGGAAAACCAAGAGGCGGAAATAAAGCAGCTGAGGAAGAGCTTGGCGTTCAAAGCTACTCCCATGCCGAGTTTCTACAAAGAACCTCCCCCGAAAGTTGAATTGAAGAAGGTAGTATTCATAAATCTCAATTTAATTACCCAATGTTGTGCATCTGATTAGTGAATTTTACATACGGGAGTCGCGATTTAGCTAAAATTAAATTTCCCGGGAATCTAATCTACTACCTAGGCTAATTAGCATTCCCTGTTCTATTACTTTTGTGATTCTCGTTGAAGGATTTTCCACGTTAAATTTGTTTATCATTTCTTGATATTATTAGCATAAATTTGTAGCACGCTTCTTAATTAATCAAATCTAATATTCGTATAGATACCAACAACACGTCCAAAATCTCCAAAACTTGGAAGGAACAAAGGATCATCCCCGAATGGTAACAACTTCCTGGAAAACGGAGATGATCAGAAATTGCTCGAGGCTGTCCAGGCTAACGGCGACAAGGGAAATGCAACTCTAACAAAATCTGTCCGAAGATCATTGCCAAAGATGAATGCTCGAAAAGTAAACAATGCAGAAAGGCCCCCCCACGAAGATCAAATTCCAACACGGATCGATGGTTCCCCGGAAACAAACGATCCTATACACGAAAGCCATGGTATGATTTCTTCTTCTCCATTGCCTGCTGAAGCTACTGTTGAAGGTTGAAGAAGATCAAGAATCAATCATCTCTCTTATTGCCATGGAAATTCCAAAAATTATAATATATACATACACATAAATATATATATATATATGTATGTATATGTGCTGTAGTAATTGCATGTTGAAGTTTTGAGATGTCTTTCTTATATTATGAAAATTGTGAAGTATTTAATTATGTATTTGCTTTGTCTGTATGTCTGTGTATACACTCATTGGTCACTGTAAATGAATTTCAAAAATAATTTGTATATGGTGTTTACAATTGTAAGACTCTTCTTTGTCATTTAAGGCTTTTATTTATTTTGAGTATTTCTTGTGTTGTTATTATTATTATTATTTTCAGCAGGCAATCGAAGAATAATAAATAATGAAAATTTAATGGTCCCACTGGCCAATAATTCCACGTGTGCCAGCTCACTTGTATACAAATGTTTAGAGTGAAGAGGAGAGAGTGAGAGGAAGCGTGTAATGCATAATTAATACAAGTATTATTAAAATATACGAAACAACTGCTATCTTAAATTATACTCAGTCTCGTATTTATCTATCCATTTATTTTTTACACAAAATTTTAAAAATAATAGTATTATATTGGGGTGTAGTATAAATAAAAATAGAAATACTAAATTATCCTTATTAGTATCATATGATATAAATGTAATGACATTTGTGTAATATATTGTAAATTGAAAAGGTATTTGTAATGTTAAGTAGATAATACAATTACTAAAATATGAAATGAATACTTTGTTATGCGATGAGACGAAAATGGAAAAAAAAAAATAGATAAATTGTTAAGTAATGGAGATAATCCTAAGGAAGCTAAAAGGGAATTTGTCCTATATTTACTATTTTTTATTTTTGTCCTAATAATTGAGAGTAAAATTGTAAGAGAATTCCGTTTTCTTAAGTTGTGTAAAGATATAAATTTAAAAAATAATACTCCCTTCATTCCGGTGCAAAATTGTCATTTACTTTTCACACGTAGATTTTTTAATATTAGTATTATAATGAGTTGTAATGAAAAAGACAAAAATACTCCTATTAGTATTGTGTAATATAAAAATAATGGCATTTGAATATAGTATAAGTTGAAAGGGTATTTATTGTGTTAAGTAAGTAGTACAATTACTAAATTAGGAAATAGTAACCTTGTTTTGGAACAAACGAAAATAAAAAATGACACAACCCTTCACTGGGACAGAATGAATAATATTTTAATTGTAATTAATAATTAAAAATAATGTAAAAATAATTTTACTTTAATTTTTTATGTCAAAAGTAATAATATAATCATAAAGTAAAAATATATGTAAAAAATTTATAAGTCTATAATTACTAAAAGATAAAATATATATATTAATGTGAATAGACAAAGATAAAAAAATATATATACATTAATGTGGAACACATAAGAGTATCATTTTCTTTATTTACTACAAAAATTCAAAAAAATATATTAAAATGAGTAAGAGGAGTATTTATCTTATGACCAAACAAAATATATTTTATTTTTATTAAAAATAATACCTATTGGTAATGATAGATAAAAATAAAAAAAAAACACCAAACATATCATGACACTTCCACTCTCAATTATTAGGCTAATTAAAAAATAAAAAGTATTGAGATAAAAGGGCGTGACAATTAGTTGATAGTCGTTAGCTGATAGCTGATTTGATTAGTTGTTCGTATTAAAATATTTGTTAAAAAAAACTGTTTGATATTAGCTGTTTATACATAAAATGACAATTGAAGACATTTCTATTTTATTTTTGTTTCTAATATATTCAATTATGTTCTTTTGAGTTTAGAATGTTTAAATTTTTTTGTTATTAGTTATTGAAAATTGTAAAAGTGTTATAAAAATATTTATTTTTATTACAATTAGATTTTAAAAAATAATATATTTTTATTAAAAAATATAAATAGTTTTTTCTATTGAAAATAATGTAAAATATAAAATAATAAATTTTTCGTCTATATATTTATTATGTTAGTTATCGATTAGTTCATTATAATTATAATTTTCAATCAATTTAATTTATTTAATTTATTTTTACTATAAAATTATATAATGTAATTTTAATATAAAAATAAATTATTAATATTTATATTTTCTATTTTATATTGATTTTAATAAATTTATATATTTTACAATTAAAATAATTTTTATATAAAAATTAATTATTTTAAATTTATAAAAGAAACTATATTATAATAAAATATTCTAATATAATTAATAAATAATCAAAATATATTTATTTGTGTAAAATGCATAATAAATTTTTAAGGGCATATAAGGAATAAATTTTTTTTTTTACACAAAAAACTATTTTAAAAAGTTGGGTAAGTTAGTTTTTCATAAATTAGCTTTTTGGGTCCAAAAAGTTAATTTATCAAACACCTAAATTAGTTTTTTAACTGATCAAATAGCTAAAAGTTGTTTAATAAACTAAAAATTATTCAAAAAACTATTTGTCAAACACTCCAAAATAATTAAAGAACTGGTTGAAAAAACTTGTTAGGACAATAAAAAGATGTAGGAGAATGAGACAGGTTCTATAAAAACTTATTTGAAAAAACATATCATTACACTTACACTTTCCTCGTCGTTTTCTTCCACCACCATAATAACAATAATAATAAATATGGTTGAAATAGAAAACTTTGTACACTCGTGGAATTTGATTCTGAAATTTTTAGCAGCTAATTCCAACAGAATTTTCTTTCAATATCATTATTATTATTTGTGTCAGAAAATTACTCAAAAACTAACACTTATTTTCATCCACAGAGAGACCACAAAACCCATAATTTAATGAGATAAAGAAAAATAAGGGAATTGGTCATAAGATGTATGTTTCTTTGGACGTGTTTGAAAATAATTTAGTTTGAAAAATATTTTTTAAAAAAATATAGAATCCATATAGGGTGTGTTTGTTTGAAGGATTTTGAAGAATTTCCACTATTCATCCAATTTTTTCCCCCCAAAAACATCACATCAAACACCTATTTTTTATTTTTTATATTATACTAAAAATCAATTTTACATTCAAAACATCACATCAAACCCTATTTATATCACATCATACAACTATTCAAATTCAAAATTTTTACTATTCAAATCCCAATCCAAAATCCAAACCCTCAAACAAACACACCCTATAGAAACTTCATATTTTGGTAAAAGAAACAAACCAAACTAAAATGTCAAAATAATACTATTTTCGTCCACCTTTAAATATTTTATTTACTTTTTACTCTTTAAATAGTACTCTTTCCGTCCCACGTACTATGTCCACATTGTCGTTTCTGTCAGTCTCACATAACATGTCACTTTCCTTTTTTGGAAAATAATTATACACTTTAATCTCATTTTAAACTTTTTAATTTTATTTTTTTAAATTTTAATTAAACTAATTAGTTATCTTAATCTTAATTTATAATTATTTATATTATAGGATTATTATTTTTACTAATACATTCTAAATTATCTACTAATTACATGAAACCGTAATATAAATCAAATAAAAAAAACAAAAATACTTCTATTAATATCTTATAATATTATTATAATAATATTTATCCAAAAAAAAGTTACACAAACATAATAATATTTTTAATTAATATTTAATACGGTAACACAAAAAATAAATAAAATTTTTAGAACCCTAAAAAATGGCGTAAAAAGTTGATAAAAATATACTTAAAAAAAGGAGCAAAAATGGCCATCAAGATCTCACCAATATATATTTATATGTTTCTCAAAAAAGATACAACTATTACATCTGTGCATAAGCTTAAATTACAAATAAAAAAATTGTGTATGTAGTAGTAATAAGTATAATAGTAATTACAGTATACCACTCTCTCTCTCTCTCTCTCTCTCTCATCCACCACTCTCTCTCTCTCATCATCCTCTAACAAATCTGTCATCCAAATATTAATTTGGCTGTTAGTGTGGAAAAAATATATTGTAATAATATTACTAGGATTTATTTTTAATATTATATGATTAATTAACCTACCTACCCTTTTCTGCAATGATATTGTTTGATTTTCCTGTTCAAATTCTTGTCCATTTGTTTTGTCCGAAGCTTTGATTCATTGACAGGGGAACAGTTTAGAGTTGTGCCCAAACATAGTGCAAGCCATTTCCAGCAACTTCCCTGCACCATCAAATAAAATAATTAAATTACAGCTCAACATATTCCACAAAATAAAAGGGTTGGCAGATAGATACATCAGAATTTGGGAATTTAAAGCTGCCTTTTCATGAGCTGGAAAAATATGAACGTGTTTTACACAATTATTGATTGCATAGCATGATCTATATGTATATTTATCTCAAAACATAACATTTTACATTAATTAAAACATAAAAAAAATCAAGAACATCCTAAATTCTAAACCCTAAACCAAAAGCTCAATGATCCACCCAATAATGTCATCATCAAAGCATATTATGAGATCTTGAAAGAATATATGAGTGGCAGCACAATTAAGTCAATGTACAGCCTGGTTTCAACAATTTGGAGCTTCTCTATATTATCAAATCAACAACTGGCCTAGCCTGGAATTGACTTCTCTCTCTCTCTCTCTCTCTCTCTCTCAAATGAGGTTCACACAACCTATAATTGACTTGATAAAAATTTTGCAACTTTTTACATTACTCATTAATACATCAAGTTCATTTTTTTCATCTCATACCAAATATTCAATAGTATATTACTATTTCCAAAATTTTCCAAATCTATAAAACTTTAATTTAAACAGAGTCAAAAAAACTATCTAACATGTTGCACCGACAGGAAAATCTATTTACCTAATATGAAATGGTATAAAATTGGGCAAGTGCAGGCCCGGTATAATCCATTGTCTTTTTAGCTTAAAACAAATGCTAAAGTTTGGTTGATAAATGAAATGAAAGTGAAGTGTGACTATAACATGCCAACTAATGATCGATCCCTAAATTCCACTCCAAAATTATTATTATTAACACTCATAATAATTAGAAAACAATTGTCGAAAATGATCTCTCACTTGCCAACTCAATCGCCACATTTATTTCCCAATTTACAAACTCACAAATTATTGAACTTAAAGCATCAAGAAAAAGTAAAGCAAGATTAAAAAATCCAGTTAAAAAAAGAACCTAATAATTTATCTAAGAAAAAGTGTGTGGCAGCTGTAAGGCCTAGGCAATTATTCCTTTCCATTCAGTCAACATCACCACCGACTGCTCCGGCGACCAACCGCCGCCGGAATCTACCACTATTCCGACCAAGAATTCATGAACTAAAATCTACCCTAATCAGTTCAAGAATTCAATCAAATTTGGAAGCAACATAATCAATCAAATTCAAGAACTAAAATCTAACCATATTCACATAATCAGTTCAAGAATCCGATCAAATTTGAAAATTAACAGAATCAATCAAATTCAAGAACTAAAATCTACATACTCACATAATCACTTCAAGAATTAGATTTTAAAAGATTGGATTGGAAAAGAACAGCGTACCTCTTCTGGGATTGGAAACGATTTTGGCGACAGGAGCAGGCTTAGGGCTCTTGCTTTCTTCCAGGGGAAATAAAACCCCATCGATTCCCTGAACAGAGATTCTCCCGTCGGTATATATATCAGGATCGAAGAGATATGCCGATCCTTCGCCTTGTCCAAATTTTACAGAGCCGTCGGCTTCCTCCGCCACGACCTTATGCGGCAGCCGGAGTGTGTCGTACTTCACCTTCCCGAATCTCCTCACCGCATTGTACATGCTCTCCTCCGTTTGGTACTCTGGAATCAGATGGTAGTACATGATCTGCTCCGGCGCCCCGGGCTCGCTCAGCTGGTCGGTGGTCAATTTGGCCATGGCTTCGTCGTTCGGAGCTAATACTGTCAGGACGTATCCTTCGGAGACGAGTTTCCCCATCTCCGTGGCGAGGGAGGTGAGATTCACGAGAATATCGGCCAATTCGTTGTATCCGCCGTAATGTAGGAGGGTTTGGATGAAATCCTTGACCTGACTCTCGCCGTCGAAGTGGTGGTGTGGTCCGCCGGGGCCAGGAGCCGGCGCCGGCGCCAGGGAGGGGCCGGGGGCCATGGCGTCGAAGACTGGGAGAACCGGAGGAGCGCCGACGGGAACGGGGGAGGGGATTTTCTTCAAGCGGTGCGTTCTCGGATCGACCTCCGGTGCTCCCTCCGGGAGCACGGCGGAGGTTGTTCTCAAGCTCCGGCGGGCGTTGAAATCCTGCTGAACCGATTTCGGAACAAGTAGCCGCTCGATGCCGTGGATGATTCCGTCGGGACGGATTACGTCGTCGGATTTCACGACCTTCGCAATTCCGACCAATTTCTCGCCATTCTTCTCGTGAATCAGGATCTTCTCGTCGCCGGCGTCGCGGAAGAGGCTGGCGTGCGCATCTCGATTCCGGTGATTACTCCACTGCGCCGACTCAATGCGCGCCGGAATCATGTGGAACAGGAGTAGATTCTGCAAGGATTTTCGATTCCCAGGCTCGAGCAAAAATCGCTTGAACTCAGGATCCAAATCTCTCTCCAGAGCTTCATTCCTCGGAGCAAAAATGGTGATATTGTGCTTCGAAACAGCTTCCTCAAGCGTCTGCAACAACAGCGCCTTCTCCACCAGCTCCGACAGCTCCGTGTAGTGCGAATCCAGAAGCGCAACCAGAACCGAGTTCGAATTGATCTGCGCACCCGCACCGGCAGGAGTTTGGTGCAATGCAGAAACCGTGACCGCCATAGACACCAAAATCGCGAAGGAGACGACGACAATCCGTGACTCCATAGCTGTGCAGCACGCCCAATGAATGACCTCAAAATTTCTCTCTCCAAACACCAAAATCCCCAACAGTAATCGATCCACAATCTCTTTGCTTAGCTTGGGGAAAAAGGTAGGTAGACGAATGTGGTGTTTGGTGGAGTAATCAATAAAGTAGAGATAAAAACAGGTCTTAGGGTTAGAGGTAAGCAAAGGTACTCACATTACACACATATATATACATACACAAGAGATAGAGAGAAATAGAGACAGATACGTGTATGTATGTATATATTACTCCATGGCTAGGGTTTTCACCATTAGAATAATTTCGAAGAAAATGCAGAAATTCGTTTTACCAATTTTTATTCTGGTTGTTAGAAGGTGAGGCAAGTGCTTCCTCTTTGAAAATGCAAATGCTCTCTTTTGATGAACAAGAATTAATCTCGATCGTGGAGGTCAAAACGCATGAATCAATGGCTGTGCTGTGGGTGCAGTAAAGAAGAGAAAAGTTGCAGTGAAGAAGAAAAGAATGGAGAAGAAAGATTGCGTGAAATAAAGGCCAAGGACGAAGAAAGTTTGGGAACAGAGATGAATTTCTTGGAAGGATCCTGGTGTTCGAGTCCGGATAAATCTGTCCCTTAGGTTTTTTTGGTTTTAGCTGCGGATTTCATCTGGTGTTCCAGTCCATGGACCTTTGTATTACTGCCTCCTTGTAGTGTGCATTGTCAGAAGGGATTAAAAGGGAGGGGTAAAATGGGGAATTAAATAGACAGGCTGGATTAAGGAAGCGTCGTGATGTTTGTGAAATTCCATTATTGCCCTTCGGTGGAATATGTAAAACGCGGTTTTAATTGATTTCGGGTGTGTTTGTTTGGAGGTTTGGATTTTGAGTTGGAATTTGAATAGTAAAAATTTTGAATTTGAATAGTTGTATGATGTGATGTAAATAAGTGTTGATGTGATGTTTTGAATGTAAAATTTATTTTTAGTATAATATAAAAAATGAAAAATAGGTGTTTGATTTGATGTTTTTGGGAGGAAAAAATAGGATGTATAGTAAGATTTTGTAAAAGTCTTACAACCGAACACACCCTTCAATTATGTATATTTTTATTCTTTTTTTATTCATTTAAAATGTTAATCTTTTATTTAATTATTTGAAATACATAATTATTACATCAATTTTTGCTATTTTATGTACATATATTAGAAATAAAAAATACCTTACCTCACTTACTATAACTTAAAAATAACAACATTGTGTCATTATGTATTGTCGTTTGTCTATTTGTTACAAGTAAATAAATAAATGAATATATAAATAGATTAGCTTTTGAGCCAAGGAAGGAGAGCTACCACCGTCTCACCAATATATATATATATATATATATTTTCTTTTTAATTATTTACTCCACCCGTTTTAAAAAGAATAGTTTGGATTGTGTTTGATATTTAAATTTTAAAAATATTAATATTATATTGATAGTGAGTAAAACGTACACAAAAAGTAATATAATCTTATAAGCGGACAGAAGAATATATTATACATATTTATTATTTTTATATTATCTTCTTGTCTTTTATGTAAAAATATATATTCAAATTATTTCACAGAAGAAACAAATTTGTCATGATCATACCAAATTATGTCAATTTTCTATTTTTTAATTATATTATTTTCTATATAAAAAGTAAAAGTTAATAATAAATAAATAAAGTTAAATTAATTAAAATTAATCTATCTGGATGTATTTGTATATTTATTTATTTTAATTTGAATTGTTTTTAGATTAATATTTGATGAATAAATATATATGTATATATATATATTATTGATTACGGTGGCATTAGATTAGTATTGTGGTCTCAATCAATTTTCCCTTTTTTTATTCCCACCTCAAATTATTATTGTTAGTCTTACTTTGAAATATCAAGTTATATTTATATATATACAATTTTTTTAAAATTAAATTAATTTAATGTATATATATAACATTAAATATCTAGTTCAGATATTCACATCAAATATTTAAGTTTTTACTATTATTAAAAAAAATAAATTTCAAAACTTTAAAAAATGAATAAATAAAAATCCAGTGGATATAAATAATTAATATAATTTATTTTTAAAAATTATATTAAGTTAACAATATACACATTTATAAAATTTGTTTACATTGTCAATATATGATCCAATCTTTTTCACAAGTGCTTGTTCAAAGTTTGTGAGATCATAATTTTTATTTTTATTTTTTGTTTATGAAGTGGGAATCTGCAGTCGCTATCCGAAAGTACAAACTTCCGGTCGAACCTAATACCCTATTAATTAGGCCCGACAAAAAAATCACACTAGACAAACCATGTGTGACAGATGATCTGAGCCGTTTGAGGTTTGAAACCACCGGACAATCCCTTGGTAATTGATTTAGCAGTCACTTGTTGGTTGTTGGTTGTTCTCCCTCAATTGACAATATATTAATATTTATAAATATCAATGCCAAATAAAATAATAATAAAAATAATTATAAAACCAAAATTATCATTATTTATAGCATATATACATATGGTCGTGCATGAATCCACACTATATTAATTTTCTTACTTGATTATATTGAATTTAAAAAATTGCATAAATCCCAACAAATTATTTTATTTTGTATGAGTGTAGTTAGTTTGGTATACATAGCCGATTTCATTCAATTACTTAATATATATATATATATATATTTTATTAAAATATTTGCGTAAGAGCGTGTTTGGGAAATAATTTTTTAAAGAATTTTTAGTTTATTGAATAGCTTTTAGCTGTTTAATCAGTCAAAAAATTAATTTAGATGTTTGGTAAATTAGTTTTTTGAAAGAGTTTTTTGGACAAAAAAAAAAACTAATTTCTGAAAAACTCATCTACCCACCGTTTTAAAAGAGCTTTTTCATTTTAATTTTAGTTATTCCGTATTTGCCCTTAAAAGTTAATTATTTATTTTATCCATATAAATATATTTTTATAGCAGTATTTATTAATTATTTTTAATATAATTAATTTATTAAATTATATTTTTATTTTTGCAAATTTAAAATAATTACTATTATTAATTATTACATATAAATTATTTTATTTGTAAAATATATAAAAAAAATTAAACTAAATCAAATACAAAAATATAAAGGTTACTAATTTATTTATATATATTAAAACAATAATTAACATAATAAAAAAATATATACGAAAGATTTATTATTTTATATTTTACATCATTTCAATAAAAAATTATTATTTTTTAGTAGAAATAATTTTTTCAGATCTAAATAATAAAAATAAATATATTATAATATTTTTATAATTTTCAATAATTAATAACAAAAATTCTCATAAATTTCAAAATGAACATAATTAAATATTTTAAAAAATAGCATATCAATGTCTTTAATTGTCATGTTATGTATAAACAGCTAATGTCAAAATAGTTGTTTTACCGAACACTCTATTACAAACTGCTCATTAAATCAGCCAGTCAAACCAACTAATTCATTCCGCTAATAGCTAAAAGTTATCAGCATTGACAAACTATACCCTTAATCTTTACTTTTAATATTACATTCATTTACAATTTGTTACTGTTACAATTATTACATTATGTACACATTTAATTTATTAATTTTTTTCTCACTTCATTAATTAACACCCACCTTTGCCAAATTAAAATTTCAATTTCATGACAATCAATTTTATTTCTACCAATATAATATTCATTTGGCCCAAGAATTATACTATTATTTTTAATTTAGGATCAATATTTTTTTTTTCAACTTTTTTTTTTATTTATTTACTCATGATATTCCTCTTTTATAGCTTAAATAAAATTTATAAAAATAAATTATTCTAACAAAAAAAAGTAGGGGCAAAATAATAATAATAAATCTGTCTGTTCTTTTTGTGTTTTCTTTAAACATTTTTTCAAAAAAATTAATACTTTATACACATTTATTATTTTTATATTATCTACACAATTATTATCTCGCGTGAAAAATACTATACTTCAAACAATTTCACAAAAACAAACACAAAACAATGCCAAAATTATTAGGATTAAAATAATATTAGAATTGTTTTTTGTTAACATGATACAATATATAAGTCACATAATAAATATTTAATATATAACATATATTTTAAAAATATATTATCTAATATGATGTAGAACAATATATTGTGATTTCATACAATATAATTCACACATCATATATTCAAGTTAAATACTCCCTCCGTCCCATTGAAAGATTATCATTTTCCATTTTTGTTCGTTCCAAAACAAAGTTACTATTTCCTAATTTAGTAATTGTACTACCTACTTAACATAATAAATACCCTTCCAACTTACAATATATTACACAAATACCATTACTGCTATATTACACCATATTAATAGGGGTATTTTTATCTTTTTTTACTACAATCTAATATTATACTAATATTTAAAAATCTACGTGCAAAAAACAAATGCTATCCTTGACGGAGGGAGTATTCAATTTAGATAAATCAACACGGTGATGATTTGCCCTCGGCCGTTACATCTATCATAAACTATATCCAACTCTTATAGCTACTGATTTTATGGACGAAGATCTTATTTATTTATTTATGTGTGTATTTTAAAGTGTAAAAGGATTGTTTTCTTAATTGGATGGTATTTGCCTATTTGGGAAACATTTTATCACTAATCATTAAATAATTAAAGGAGTGTTTGTTTAGCCTCGGAAATATAATTTGGATTTTAAACTAATTTCGAGACAAATATTAAAAAAAAAAAAAAAAACTTGAAATTAGTTTCGGAAAGATGCCCGAAGAAAAATTTTCATTATCATTATATTTGATTCGGAATTCTCCGAGATTATTTTAAGGAGTCGCAGAGATCTTCCTAAGCAAAATAAATAAAACTCAGAATTTTTGAGGCCATATCCGAATCGTTTCCTAGACAAGACACGTGGATCTTAAACTCAAATTGTATAGAAATTTTCAAGACTATTTTAAATTTTTTTTTTGTTTTTCGAATTTGCAAAGACACTTTTCAAAATATTTATATAAAAAAATAAATTCAGAATCGGGTTGCTAGATACATTTTTTTGGCGACTATGGCTTGAAAAAATAAGTCTTTGCCTAGCCGTGGACCATTCTCCGACTAGCCCTTCCAAAACAGTTCATGGAACCTCCTCTGAATCAATTCCGATACAATTAAAAAACATATATAATAATATATATAAAATTAATTAGTTTCTTTTGTTTCGGAAATTCCAAAACTATTTAATTTTGTTACGCATTTTCCAAAGTTATATTATTATGGGTGTGTTTGTTTGGGGGATTGGATTTTATTCCCGCTATTCATCCCATTTTTTTTTTCAAAAAATATCAAATCGAACACCTATTTTTTATTTTTTTATATTATACTAAAAATCAATTTTACATTCAAAACATCACATCAACACCTATTTATATCACATCATACAACTTTTCAAATTTAAAATTTT